TTCTGCTCTTATCTGCTGCATTAGATACATTATACCCTCCACTGAAATCAAACAACCCAATGCAAGCTGCTCTTGTTTCTAAAATGTATAAAACCTCTGTCTGGTAAAATGCAGCAAGCAGTAATTTTTGTTGTCACATGTACAGGGTCTCACATCCAGGCGGGTCTGGAGAGGTGTGAATGTTAATAGTATTGGTTTTTTGGGGGTGAATTATCATGCAGTGCGTGTGTGTGGCTGTTTCAGGTGCCTTCTGCATCCCAGTGTACATCCCGTACAACCTGACAGGCCGGTGGATGCTGGGTAAGGGGCTCTGCAAGGTGTGGCTGGTTATGGACTACCTGCTCTGCACCGCCTCAGTCTTCAACATTGTCCTCATTAGTTATGACCGTTTCCTGTCAGTCACACGAGCCGTAAGTACAGGCTGCAGAGGTGCTCATTACACACACGCACGCACGCACGCACACACACACAAACACACACACACACACACACACACACACACACACACACACACACACACACACACACACTCAGACATACTACCACAGTCAATTCTTAAATGTGTCACTCTCTTTGCTCTGCTCTGCAGTAAGGAGTCATTGACATTCAAAGCTTTATCCTTAAGGGTGTCATTTTAAATACAGAGTTTGAGCTGTGGCAATTAGGTATGTAAATATCTTGGATTTAAACATTAGCATTCAACTCAGAAGTCCATAAGGACAAATATAGTGTGGCTAAAAGGGCACTCGATTTTACACACGCGGAAGAACTACTCAAAGTGAGACAATTAAAACATTTTAATAATATCTCGCTTTTCAACGTTTGAAAATATATGACATATCGGTGCAATAATGGTTTGGGATTAATATGTTCTAGGAGGTATGGTGTCTGGAAGGATTGTGCAATTTAGAGGCAGTAAGAGTATAATGTGCTGAGGTAAATCATGGAAGAAAAATAATTCATGGTTTTTGGAGCTTGACTCATATTGAGACCAAAATTAGGACATCAGGCCCTCTCCTGATGTTTAACCTGTCTCTTGTGACTCCAAAAACATGTGAAAGTGAAATACTAAATAACTGGTGTGCACCTTTACCAGCACAACCAGAAATTGAATCAAAACATGATGTTGTATTCTGTTGACCCAGAATTAATAAATAATTATAAAATTCTCTTCCCACAAATAAATCTCCCGGACATGTTTTTTCCTAAATATTTCCATGGGCATCGCTTTGATAATGTTTCGCTTATTTTTAATTGACTATATTTGTGGGATGCCACATTGAGAGAAATGTTGTGGTTGTGTAGTTGTTTACTTAGTATGTATGTTAATAACACCTCTTTGCCTCTGACTGCTTTTTATCTCCTTTTGATTGATGGTCTTATCTCTAGAGCTCAGTAGAATTTATTATTTATTTGGTTATTCATTTTCTAATCAGAGAGCAGGGTTCCTGTAATGTAAAATGGAAATATGCGAGTCTTGCCTTATTGGAATGATACCGTGGAAAGATGTTTTTCTTTTTTACTACAGAGGAAGCTGGTTTTTAAAGTTGCTTTCAAGCCAAGGTTGCAGCAATGCAGCATCATTGTCTCACCGTGATATACCCAGCAGTTTCAACCTCCATTGAACTAATATGTAATTGTCAGAGGCAAAGAAAAAACAAAATAAAGAACCCAATAAAAGAGCGAGATAGAGTTTAGACTGAGAGGAGAAGAAGTTAAATTGGAGCAAGTGCAAAGAGAATGAGCAAAGGGTGATGCCAAGGGAAAGTGGATTTTTGTGAGGAACCTGATGTCTCTTTCACACTCTTATGTTGCATCAGTGAATGTGGCTCTCTGCCTGACATCCCCTTTCTCTATTTGGCTTCAGTGACAGCAGAATGAGAGCCTCACGAGTGGTTATTTACTGCGTCTAAATATACAAACAGGGATTCATTTGTACAAGGCACTGAGAGCAGAAGCAAGTGCGTTTTTCATATGGGAACAGCTGTGGAATGTAACAAATAGCGTTATTGTGCAGCTGAGTTTATGTTCCTTGCTGGGAGTCAATCTTGTGCCCCTCTTTTGACACAGGTTAAATACAGAGCACAGCGAAACATGACCCGCCAGGCTGTGTTCAAGATGCTGGCGGTATGGGTGTTGGCCTTCCTCCTCTACGGCCCTGCCATCATCTTCTGGGAGTCGATCGTCGGCCAGAGTGTCGTCCCCGCTCACGAGTGCCATGCCGAGTTCTATTACACCTGGTACTTCCTGCTCAGCGCTTCAACCTTTGAGTTCTTCACCCCCTTTGTGTCTGTGACTTTCTTCAATCTCAGCATTTACCTGAACATCCATCGCAGGACCAAGAGGGGATGCGCCTGTGTGGAGGACGAGGCCAAGGCGCAGAGGATCACTAAGAAGCACAGAGAAGGAGGAAGCTGGTCTGTGTTTTTTGTGAAGACTCGGAAGGTGTCCTGCAGTGAGCCTACTGCTATCTCTGCAGTTATCGAGGACGACGATGTCCTGTCACCTTCCTCCTGCGGGGAGCCCATTAACAGTCAAATATACCTGCAGAGGGAAAAGTTCTCTCCTAACAGAAAAAACTCCAGGCTCTTTCAGCACACAGCCTCTTGCATGGCACCCAGCCGAAGGACACAGGGATCTCGACTGTCTCGAGACAAAAAGATTGCCAAATCTTTGGCCATTATTGTTTGCATTTTTGCCATTTGCTGGGCTCCTTACACTCTACTAATGATTATTCGTGCCGCCTGTAGCGGTGAATGTGTGGCGCACTACTGGTACGAAATAACATTCTGGCTTCTGTGGCTAAACTCTGCCATCAACCCGTTTCTCTACCCACTGTGCCACAGCAGCTTTCGAAGGGCTTTCTCAAAGATACTGTGTCCCAAAAGACAATCAGTTCAGCCTCAGATTGAGGCTCAGTCTTGTTAGATGAACCCAATTGCACTTCCATGCTTTATAAATGCTGTAAATGTTGTTGGTTAAACACTGTAAAAATCCATATACTGTTCTTCCATCCAAAAGAAACCTTTTCTAAATAATATATGTATTTGTCAAAGTCATTTGTTCAAGGATTGTCACAGCATATCGGACAGCAATAGGACAATTGAACCCTAACCCCGGAGATAAGGAACTGCAGTTTTAATATTCACTGACAAACTCGGACAGAAAGAAGGAATATGGTTTAAGATCTCTCAGCGCACAACTATTTATTTGCTCAATGCTGTGAAAAGATGAATGAAGAAGGGGATGACTGTAATTTAGTCTAAAATATTATACAAGAACTGAACTACTGTACAGCACTAGCAAGTTGTTTAATTCACTCTCCAGTTTCTTACAGGGCTGCTGTGACAACAAAAAACTCCTTTTTAGATTTAAGAAAAAAGGATTTTGTGATCTTTATAAAGTTTCATAATCTCTCTGCACATGAAACCCTTTCACCTAGTATTTCGCAGAATGTAAGCTTTCTCTCATGAAGCAATAGGATGTCAAAGTTGGAATGACCTGAATAGAAGAAAATAACCTGTACTTGTTTACTGTGTGAACTTTTATCACAATAATGTTTTATTTTATTTTTACTAAAAAGTGGGCTAAGGGCAGAGGGAAATCAAGTGACATCATCTGCCAACAATGAATCTGCACTGAATTAAAAAAAAAATTGTGTTGATGTTAAAAATGTACAGGACTAAATGAGAACAGCATTAAACCTTTTGTAGAATAATATCTATGCCAAGCTAGATGTTTGTGTGTTCTTAAAGTACAGTATTTATTCAGAGACTTGCCTGGTTTATACCACCCTAACTACTTGACTACTTTGTATTTTGGCTATGAATGTGTGTTGCTGTAAGTAGCCAAAGAAAGAATAAAATGAAATCTGCCTGCAGGCTTTCTGACTGTACCTGTTATTGGTCGGCGTAGGAGGAAGTGGTTTTACATTTTGGGAAATACGCTTACAGTACAGTTGCAAGAAAAAGTATGTGAACCCTTTGGAACTACCTGGATTTCTGCATAAATTGGTCATAAAATGTGTTCTGATCTTCATCTAAGTCACAACAATAGACAAACACAGTCTGCTTAAGCTAAAACCACACAAACAATGATATGTTTTTATGTTTTTATTGAACACACCATGTAAACATTCACAGTGCAGGGTGGAAAAAGTATGTGAACCCTTGGATTTAATAACTGGTTGACCCTCCTTTGGCAGCAATAACCTCAACCAAACATTTCCTATAGTTGCATATCAGACCTGCACAACGGTCAGGAGGAATTTTGGACCATTCCTCTTTACAAAACTGTTTCAGTTCAGCAATATTCTTGGGATGTCTGGTGTGAATCGCTCTCTTGAGGTCATGCCACAGCATCTCAATTGGGTTGAGGTCAGGACTCTGACTGGGCCACTCCAGAAGGCCTATTTTCTTCTGTTGAATCCATTCTGTTGTTGATTTACTTCTGTGCTTTGGGTCGTTGTCCTGTTGCATCACCCAAACGGCCCCCTGACTCCACCAAAAAAGGGCTCTTTTTCTTTGTTTCGCCAAAAGTGTATGCAAAAAAGCAACGTTAGAGAGAGGAAAGTGGAGGGTGAGAAGGCCAAAAAACAAAACACAACCTTCTCTCTACCTTCTTTTCATACACTTTGGAAACCTTTAAATTGCTTGGACCTAAAGACGATAAACCCAGTAATATGTTACAACAAGAAGTGAACTAGACTTCAAAAACTCAGACTCCACCCTGTTCGGAACTCTTTAACAGTTCCTTGATCCCTTCCTTTTTTTTTTTAGTTCCGGTGGTTCGTGTGGTTGGTAGTTTTTTGAGGTAGGGTTGACACTTCATAAACCCCTCCCCTCGGTAGTACCAAACCCGACGACAACCGCACGGAGTGCCCGGGACCTGTCTAACGGTAGTAGCTGCCTTTTATTTACTTAAGAGTTCAACTACGTTCCTGTTAAAAACGACCTCCTCTTTGAATTCCGGTAGACAGGTGGTTAACTTCGAGNCTGAGTTATTATAAAGCTCCATGTGATCACTTTGGCTGATAAGGCAAGTTGTGTCTTTAAAAGGAAAAGTGCATTGACTCAACTGCCCCAAGACACACACACACACACACACACACACACACACACACACACACACACACACACACACACACACACACACACACACATTATAAAATACCTTCTATCCACTTGGAATCGGTAAACATATTTGCCATTGTTAAATAAATTAAAGGTTCAGCAGTTCACATTCATCGGCTGGTTGTGTGTGTATCTGTGTGCAAGTTCTGGGTAGTTAAGTTGTGTAGTTCACATTGGTCATTGTTGTCCCGTGGCTTTTTTGAGAAGCTCCAGGTCTTTGCGTGTTTGAGCCGCAGGGGGGGTGCAGCCGTGAGCCTCCAGACCCAGAGGCAGGTATCTCTCCTGCAGACCCAGGACCTCGTCGCCCTGCCCGGCCTGCAGCCAGACCCACGGAGGGGGCGGAGAACCCCCCTGGAACCCCCAAAGAGCCAGACTCTCTGTGGTGGAAGGTAGCAATAACAATGTATGAGTAAGACAGACTTTGCCTTAAAGGTCACCTATTGTGCAAAATCCACTTGTTCATGTCTCTTCTACATCAACATGTGTCCCCCCCCCTCTGTGGAAAGAGATTCTGAAAGTTTCAGGAAAAAAGATTCCCTCTCTTTTTGTCCTGATCCATTTCTATAAAAACCTGTCTGAAAATGAGCTGATCAGATTTTGACCCCTTTATGATGTCATAACGATTTGTTGGCTTGAGTAACCATTAGCCAATCACCAACCAAGGTAACCCCCCCCCCCCCCACCTTATCACCTGAATCTCCTCCTAGAGCACCATTGTGTTCTTTTTAACCAAATATCTCTCAGAGGGGCGTGGGGAGGGGCTCCTTATTTTCATCTAAAGTAACAGACAGAGAATCAGCACTTTTGAAACAGGGCTGAAACAGAGAGGATTATGGGTAATGCTGCAATGATCTGTTTGGTGTTTGGAGCCAAACACTTCAGAGACATGTTTTGTATATATCTGAGACCTGTAATATATTGATGAAAAACAGTATTATAGGGGACCTTTAAGAAAAAGTGATGACAAATGTATGATTGTATACTGTAAGTGTGTCACTAACCTTTACTGTGCAGATCAGCAGCTTTGGCCATTCCAAAGGAGACCAGATGTGGTGCCACACTAACGAGGCCTTCTGGTTGACCTCGTGTCGCCATAAGTACGATAGACCTGGGACAAAAAAACGCTCTGTTAAATTAGCAAGCATAAAGAACGACTTCATGAAGACATACTTAATTATAACCCTAGAGGAAATTCAGCTTTCACTCTCTTGTGTGATACAGTACTACACATGCATAAACACACGCATTAATGCAAAGGTGTTTTTTTTATCTTGGTCTTAGATGACTTGAACGAGTGAACAACTGGTTCCCAAGCCAGACAGACTGAGTTACTGCCTGCCCTGTATACTGGACTGTTGTATTTAACTAAATAGAAAAAGTAGTCTCAAAGTGTGGTACTGCTGCAAAAATGCAAATGCAGTAGTGTGAGCAGCTATTTCCCCTGGCTCACCTCTTTGGTATTCCAGTTTTTAGGTACTGTTCCATTTTGGCGTCCATCTTTGCAAATGAGGTTTTCTTGGTGACCTTCCCCGAGCAGGCGTCCACTGAGACCAGGAAATATCCAGGCTGAGAGAAGGGCATCGTGACCTCGTTCACCTGACAGGAGGAGATCAATGTTAAATAAACCCTGATTCAAAACATCACAAGTAGATAATGTGATTATATGTTGTGTTTCGATCAGTCATTCTTACAGTGATATAGGAGCTGTTATCTCCTTTCTGCTGCTCTTTGCTGCTGAGAGACTTGACTTGTGTCTGGAGGTAGAAGGTCCATGGCTCACTGGAAAACACAAGCTGAGACAGAGACACACTGGTCAGCAATGATGGCTTGAGTTTAGAACAGATTCAAGTAAATGATCGTTAATGTTTCAACTTGTTTATTGGGTTTTTTCAACAGCATACGGTTATTCTATCAGAGCATGTATCAAAGGTAGGTAAACAAATCTTCACTTTATAGAACAATAGGTAGAGTAACAATGTAAATACTGCTTAACACCATGGCAAACACAATCCCACACAGACAGAGCAAAAACAGACATACAAAAACATTATAATAATAACTAAATAAATAAAGCAACTCGTACCTTTTTAGCACCGCAGCCTTTACAGGGTTGTGTATTGAGAGACGGCATAGGCACCACTGCTGAGGGGGTCTTGGAGTACTTGGGGTAGGCTTTGGTTGTGCAGTTACAGGTCTGTTTGGAGGACGTGGTGGCCATGACCTTCACTCTTTCGCAGCCTTTTGATGAACAGTAGCTGTGACCTTCACGACCGTGCCGAGCCCGAAGGAAGAACCACAACAAGCTGGGCGTGAGGGAAGGAGAACGGGAGGAAGGGCCAAAGTTAAATACACTTAATGAAATGAGAGAAACAGAGAGATGACAGTCTACATAGACCTTTTTGAGCCCACTGCAATAGAGAGGATTGGAATTTGTTTGATGTTCTCACCCAACAGTTCGGTCAAAGTAGTACTTCCTCTCCATCGGCCTGTTCTCCAGCTCTGCTAAGGATGACACGGTGCCGTAGTCTGTGAGGTCATCGAAGGTGTTGCTCTGCCTGTCGTTGATGTCGGCCATAATCTGAAACGTGGTGTCTGATGGGTAACAGAGTCCCACCAACGCCCAGTCATCTCTAAAAGGGAGGAAGAGAAAAAAGACAGTCATTACATCAGAGAGGCGTTCTCCAAAAAACATTTAGAAATAGTAGAAGATGTTGGACAGCCTGGTTTGTAAATATGTTTTAAAAGCTTTGCATAGTTCTAATGGGATCGAAACAAGAACGTATTAAAGACTATTTTATTGGTTTTCGTTTTATTGCTTTCTCAGGAAACAATATCCTAATTTACCCCTTGAAGATATTACAGCAAGTCATATCTTTTCCAGAGATGGCCTTCCTTAGCTTGTAAATGTTTTTGAATTCTGTAATTCTTCTCAAAACAGAAAAACACCTCTTGTCTTGTTCTGTTTGTAGTTGTTTGTAATTATACTAGATTTAAAAAAAAAAAGATGGATCCCTGTATATATCTAACGCACATGTGTCAAACTCAAGGCCCGGGGGCCAAATCAGGCCCTTGGTGGATTTAATTTCAGCCCGTAGGATAATTTCTAATTACTATTTTGATCTGGCCCGCCGGTATATTGCACGCACACCTTCACTCCATCCTGAGGGTTTCCTCAGCTCAGAGCCTGAGCCCAAACATTGATGAACTTGTACCCAAGATGAGATGCCAAGTATCTGGCTTGAACTAGCATCACAGAGCAGCACACTGAGTTTAATGGATGTTTCCTTCTGCACTTTTTCTCTCTCTACAACAGGGCATGTTTGGTTTTCTCTTTGAGGGAAATTGTTTTTTTGAAGCTGTTGTTGGCCTGTGGAAAAATGTAATCATAAGAAATGACTCTGCAGATAA